TTTAGAGGAGTTGTGTTCTCTGCAAAAGAGGTCAAAGGGGGAGGGGTAGAGATGAAAGTTGAAAATAGTTTAGGGTTGTGTTATTGCCAGAGCAAGAGGAGGAAAGTAAGTTAAGAAAAAGCAATTTATTGCTCTTGTGATGAATGTTTGTATGTATATAGAAATATATGTATGTATTGTGTATGTACATGTGTGTTTTTCTATGTTTTGCTTTATATATGCACATTAATAGAAGTGTAGGGTCTGAGACCCGGTGTTCATTTCTATTGAGTTTCTTAAACCTTTTGCACTTTTGGAATCTGTTCGAATTATTGTATGGCCCTTGGAAGGGCCTGTTTTGGAAGTCAAGCAAAAGGAGCCCATTTTCCTGTCTTGACTTCATATATCTGCATGTGAGCAACTGAATTGCTTCCATTTGACTGCAGAATGAGGAATTTCTGATTATTTTTTTTTTCGTTGTAGCTTCACAAAAGTCTGTATTTTCCCTCTTTTTGGTGCATGTTGTTTCATCAAATTGATACTATGCAACTCATTTTCTATGCTTTTCAAATTTTGCACATAGAGATACTTTGATACTTTTGAAAGCTTCAAAACCTTTCAGTTTTACTTTATTAGCTTTACTCTTTTAAATTCAAAAAAGGTGAAATAAACGTTGCTTTATAAAATTTTATTAACATCCCCCCCCCCCCCCAAAAAAAAAAACCCAAAAAACAAAAAAAAATGCAATTCTTAAATCTATTATTCATTAGAGTGACAAATATATCCAGGTCTGATCACAAATCACATAAATAAGAAATTATAAGATTTTTGAAAATTACAAACTGAGCAATTTTTTGCTAGGTTAATATGGAAGTTGACATTCTCTTGTCTAAATTAATTGTAAACAGCTTTAATAGGGGGCACCTGCTTTTTCTCCAAGTGCCTCAAACTTGGCGTGCTGAATGCTTTTTTACACACACTTTATCAACAACAGATAAGATAAGAATCAATATGTATATCTGACTCATAGGTTCATTTCTTCTCATTAAGACCAAATAATTCTGTACCAGTGTTTTTAATCTTTCAATTTCAATTAGTTTACTATGCTTATGAAATTTTGGAACTTTTCTCATAGTCTGGGTTAATCCACCTTTATGAAAAAAAGTTGACAAAAATGTGACTTCATAACATTTTATTAACATAAGCTATATCAATATATTGTTCATTGCAGTCACAACTATATCCAGGTATGATCACAGGTATGAAAGTTATTCATTCCCTACAACACTTGTTGCAACAGGAAGGTGTCATCAATTGAGATGGTCACAGTGACAGGCCTCAAATTACATACATTGATTTGATAATAATAAATGATTAAAGCTTGGATAGATGAAAAAGGAAGAATATAGGGGCCCCAATTTTTTGAATATTGAACTTTAAAAAAATTTCTCTTTCATTTATGTTTTATACTTAAATTGAATTTGCTTTTCTGGTTCATTTTTATCCTTGCACCATAGAGGATTTTTATCTTTCAGCTTTCTAGGCACCAGGAGAGGTTGGTATCTGATCCGCATGAGTATTTTCTATATATACGAAAAAGATGGAGACTGCTATCCACCTGATGTATTTTGTCGAAACGTTTTCTGTACGTTGAAGTTAAATTTTCCATTGTTTAATTTTCTAGCCCCTTATTGTGTGGAGCATTTTGGGGTTTGAAGTCATAATCATCGCAATTTTTGATTATTTTTTTAAAAATTGATCTGAAATGGCCTTTTAAATATGTGTAGCTTATTGATAGAACTGTTTAAGACTTCCGAGGCTGAGCTTTGAATTGTTATCAAAAAGATTGACTTTCTCTTTCCTAAATAAATTGTCAGCAAATGGAATAGGGGCATCTACTATTCCTCTAAGTGCCTCCAACTGAGGAATTGAGACTTGTTTTTACACACAATCAAAAGGAGGGGTAAGATTAAAATCAGTATGTATATCAGTTGTAGATTATAGTCTTATAAATGCCAAAACATTCTGAACCAGTGTTTTAATCTTTCAATTCTAATTAATTTGTTATGATTTATCAAATTTAAGAGTAATCTCAAGTCTTGGAGAAACCACACTTTTGAAGAAAATTGACAAAAAATGTGAATTTATATCCTTTTATTAACATCCGAAAAAAACAAAAGCATGCAATTGCATCAATATATTTTTCATTACAGTCACAACTATATCCAGGTCTGATCTCATGTATAAAAGTTATTCATTCCCTACAACACTTGTTGCAACAGGAAGGTGTCAACAATTGAGATGGTCACAGTCTCCAAAACACTGAAATGACGGGCCACAAATTACATACACTGGTTAGTATAAAGTCATTGATAATGAAAAATGACTAATTCTGGGATAGATAAATAAGGAAGAATATAAGGACCCCTTTTTCTACAATGTTCAGTGAATTGAAAATCTTGAAAAGTTATTATGAGATACTCTTTTTGAATAATGAATACATATCGAGAGTAAAAAATTAAAAATGATTAACTCCCTTTTGACTGGCAGATGAAATTGTAGTTAAGTTGTTTCTTTGTTGTAGCTTTACAATGGTGTGTGTTTTCCTTTTCTAAGTACATATTTATATCGTTTCCTCGGGTTGGCCTGTTTTAGTACTAAGAGTTACTTCCCTTAGATTGAATAGCCAGAGAAGACTTTCAACATGATAAAATCTTATTGTTGAGACCTCGGGCTCCTAATTTTGCTTGTGTCAATAACCTGCATATATCACATTTCACCTTTCATGTATTGATATTTAAATGAATGTGATATTGTACATTAATGACATTTACCAAACTATGTCGATCATTTTTTTTAACATTCAGCAATGTAGGAGATATGTAAATTTAAGGTTTGGTAGGAAACTTAAAAAATCTTACTCTTTCATTCACGTTTTATTTTTAAATTTATTTCATTTTCATCCTTGCACTATAAAGGTGTTCTATCTTTTAGCTATATATATAGGCCCCTGGAGAGGTTGGTATCTGATCTGCATGAGCATTTTCACAACTTCAGAAACTTAAAAAAAATCATTCATGTTTTATGCTTTAATAAAATTTACTTTTTATGTTCATTTTCTTTCTTGCACCATAGAGGACTTCTATCTTTCGGCTTTTTAGTCCCCTGGAGAGGTTGGTACATGTATCTGATCCGCATGAGCATTTTCTATATATAGGAAAAAAATGGAGACTGCTATCCACCTGATGTATTTTGTCGAAATGTTTTCTGTACATCGAAGGTAAATTTTGAAATGTTTCATTTTCCAGTCCCTTATTGTTTTGAACATGTTGGGGTTTAAATTCAAAATCATCACACTTCTTGATCTATTTTTTTAAATTGATCTGAAATGCTCTTTTAAAAATATGTAGCTTATTGATAATACTGTTTAAGACTTCCGAGACTGAGCTTTAATTTGTTATCAGAAAGAATGACTCTTTTTTAAATTAATTGTCAACAAATTAAATAGGGGGCATCTGCTCTTCCTCTCTAAGTGCCTCATACTGAGGAACTGAGATTTTCTTCACACAATCAAAAGGAGGGGTAAGCTTAGAATCAGTATGTAATCAAGTGTAAATTATATTCTTATAATGACCACAACATTATGAACCAAGTTTTTTAACCTTTCAATTTCGTTTCCAAAACACTGAAGTGACAGGCCTCAAATTACATACAATGGTTAGTATAAGGTCATTGATAATGAACAATGACTCATTCTGGGATAGATAAAATAAGGAAGAATATAAGGACCCCAATTTTTACAATGTTCAGTGAATTGAAAATCTTAAAAAAATATTATGAGATTTTTTTTTTTTTGAATATGAATACATATTGAGAGGAGAAAAATAAAAATGATTAACTCCCTTTGGACTGGGTGATGAAATTGTAGTTAAGTTGTTTCTTTGTTGTAGCTTCACAGTGGTGTGTGTTTTCCATTTCTAAGTGCATATTAATATCGTTTTCTCGGGTTGGCCTGCTGTAACTCGTTTTCTATAACTTTCCAGTAGTTAAGTTTTTCTTTGTTGTAGCTACACAATGGTGTTTTTGTTTTCTTTTCTTAGTGCATACAGGGGTGAGATCAGAATAAATATGTATATCAAATTCATATGTTGATTTCTTCTCATTAAGACCTAAACATTCTGTACCAGTGTTTTTAATCTTTCAATTTTATTTAGATTACTCTGATTATGAAATTATGAAGATTTTCTGACAATCCGGGTTTAATCCACCTTTATGAAAAAAAATAGACAAAAATATGACTTCATAACATTTCATTGACATAAAAAAAAAAACAAAACCATGCAACTATATCAATATATTTTTGTTACAGTCACAACTATATCTAGGTCTGGTCAAATGCATGAAATTAATTTACAACAAAATTTGACTGCTGTTAACTAATTAGGTCACTTTGTTTTTGCACAAGGGGCACAATCAAGCAGCAAAGCCAATTTCATCCATGTAATCAGTGCTAGCTTGAATTAAAAGTTATACTTTTGGTGAAACTCAGAGATTACTAGTGGGAAATTTAATTTGAATTCCTGTACAATATGTTTTTGCAAAAAATACATTGAAAATATATATAATATACAAATATATAAATATGCAAAATTATAGCTGAAAAAAATATGAAAAAGGTGTCTGAGTATCCCACCTCCTTGCCATATTCAATCTTGATATTCAGCTGAAAAAAAGGGGGTAATTTTGTGCTCTTATGATGCTGAAAAAAGAAGGAATTTTATTTAAATTTGGTTATTTGAATTACAAGAGTCATTCTTATTTGCAATTATTTTTTTCAATTTCTTTGATATTTTTTTTAAATAGTTATTTGAGTAAATTCTATTTAAACATGATTATTTTAAAGGTATTACATCACAAATGCTTACAAGAAATTCAAAAGATGGTGTAAATAATAAAAAATCAATACATTAACTGTTAGATGCATTTATCAGTATGTTTTAATAAAATAAAATGTATTTCAGCAATGCATTCTCAAGAAGGAAGAGATTAATGAACCCTACCCTCTTACAATGAACAACACATGGACACTCTCCGGATGTTCCCTTTGCTTTTATTAAGAGTTCCAAGGTATGGTTTTCTTAGAAAATCTAGTTAATCTTTTAATATTTAAGTTATTTAGATCTTTTTATAGATTTTTAGAAAATAAATTTCATCAGAACTGCAGTTATTCAAGCACTTTGCTTACAATTGAGCACTGTATTCAGTCAGACAATTTGATTTATCTGCCCTTGGCATTTAATCAATTTCATAAGTATGCCAATAATAAGAAATGATATACAAATAATTATATTTGCTTTTTAAGAGAATATACATATTTAACATCAATTACATGAAATGTTCCAGAAAATTGGCTAAAATATAGGTCACCCCTTTCAAATTTACAAAAGTTTCAGTGGGGATATATTTGATGCTCTGATGCAAGCAACCCATTGCTGATAAAAAAAAATTCAGTCTTATGTACATTTGAGCTAGATAAAATTCTGATTATTTTCATTGATTATTTTATCTACATTAGTTTTCATTATCACCATAACTCAGCATTTGCTTACAAAAAACTGCTGATTTTCTTCATTTTTCATTAATAACGGGTACCTGCTACCCTGAATGAAAACATGAGCTATCTTGAGAAATTTTCAGAGATAATAAGAAAAACAAGCAAAACATATGCTAGATAAACCATTTCATTTCAAAAGAAGGGAAGTAAAATAGAAAAATGCTTCAATATATAGACATATTTCTTGTTTCACAGATGTTGGTCTGATTGACTGGTGTGTGAAATGTAACAGCCAATGGTGTACTTAAGCCCGAACTGTCAGTCCCAATATTCAAGAGGTGAGATAAGCAATAGATATGTGTTCTTAATATACCAAATTGACCACTTTTTATTAATGTTTCTATTAGTCTATAGTAAAGGTATAATTTCATGGATAAACATTGATTTAAGTCAAAAATCAATCAGTTCTTATTTTTTTGGCATTGAGATTATATTTCAGTTAGGTTTACTAATTGTTTAAAAATTAGAGGATTTGGGTAAATTGAGGCTCACAATGGGTACTGCCCCTACTTAAAAAATGCCAAAATTTTTGCCCTAGCCCTCATATTTTCAATAAATGTACATGTAAAAAGTTTTAAATAAATACTTATGCAGAAATTTACTGTGAATATTGTAAATAATACAATATCAATATTTATGGACATCATCTATACACAAAACATTTAAATATCCCCCTCGCAGTTTGATAAATTCATTTAAAGCCATGTGTTTTATGAGTGTAGACACTGGAACAGATTGAGTAATCCTCTTTTAAATTTGTGTTAATCAGAGTTGATTGACTAATTTATAACAAAATTTGACTGCTGTTAACTAATTAGGTTACTTTGTTTTTGCACAAGGGGCACAATCCAGCAGCAAAGACAGTTTCAGCCATGTAATCAGTGCTAGCTTGAATTAAAAGTTATACTTTTGGTGAAACTTAGAGATTACTAGTGGGAAATTTAATTTGAATTCCTGTACAATATGTTTTTGCAGAAAATACATTGAAAATGCAATACATATGTAAAATTATAACTGAAAAAAATTATGAAAAAGGTGTCTGAATATCCCTCCTCCTTGCCATATCCAATCTTGATATTCACCTGAAAAGGGGGAGGGGGTAATTTTGTGCTCTAATGATGCTGAAAAATGAAGGAATTCTATTTAAATTTGGTTTATTTGAATAACAAGAGTCATTCTTATCTGCAACTATTTTTTTCAATATCTTTGATATTTTTAAAATAATTATCTGAGTAAATTCTATTTAAACATGATTATTTTAAAGGTATTACATCACAAATGCTTACAAGAAATTCAAAAGATGGTGTAAAAAAAAAAAATTAATACATAAGCTTCTATATGCATTTATTAGTATGTTTTAATAAATCCCTTTGCTTTCATTAAGAGTTCCAAGGTTCTTAGAAAATCTAGTTAATCTCTTAATATTTAAGTTATTTAGATCTTTTTATAGATTATTAGAAATTTAATTTCCTCAAAACTGCAGGTATTCAAGCATTTTGCTTACAATTGAGCACTGTATTCAGGCAGACAATTTGATTTATCTGCCCTTTGCATTTAATCAATTTATTAATTATGTCAATAATAAGAAATGATATGCAAATAAATATATTTACATTTTATGATAATATACATACTTAACATCAATTACATGAAATGTTCCTGAAAATTGGCTAAAATGTAGGTCATCCCCTTTCAAATTTACAAAATTTCAGTGGGGATGTATTTGATGCTCTGATGTCAGCAACCCATTGCTGATAAAATTCTTTTCAGCAACCCATTGCTGATAAAATTCTTTTCAGTCTAGTATGTTTTAATAAAATAAAATGTATTTCAGCAATGCATTCTCAAGAAGGAAGAGAACTCTTCGGATGATCCCTTTGCTTTTATTAAGAGTTCCAAGGTATGGTTTTCTTAGAAAATCTAGTTAATCTTTTAATATTTAAGTTATTTAGATCTTTTTATAGATTTTTAGAAAATAAATTTCATCAGAACTGCAGTTATTCAAGCACTTTGCTTACAATTGAGCACTGTATTCAGTCCGACAATTTGATTTATATGCCCTTGGCATTTAATCAATTTATTTATTATGTCAATAATAAGAAATGATATACAAATAATTATATTTGCTTTTTAAGAGAATATACATATTTAACATCAATTTCATAAAATGTTCCTGAAAATTGGCTAAAATATAGGTCACCGCCTTTCAAATTTACAAAAGTTTCAGTTGGGATGTATTTGATGCTCTGATGCCAGCAACCCATTGCTGATAAAATTCTTTTCAGTCTTATGTACATTTGAACTAAATATAATTTTCTTTCTTTCCATTGATTGTTTTATCTACATTAGTTTTCATTATTACCATAACTCAGCATTTTCTTACAAAAAACTGTTGATTTTCTTCATTTTTCATTAATAACGGGTACCTGCTACCCTGAATGATAAACATGACCTATTTTGAGAAATTTTCAGAGATAATAAGAAAAAACAAGCAAAACACATGCTAGATTAACCATTTTATTTCAAAAGAAGGGAAGAAAATTAGAAAAAAATGCTTCAATTTATAGACATTTTTCTTGTTTCACAGATGTGGGTCTGATTGACTGGTGTGTGAAATGTAACAGCCAATGGTGTACTTAAGCTGGAACTGTCAGTCCCAATATTCCGGAGGTGAGATAAGCAATAGATATATGTTCTAAATACACCAAATTGACCACTTTTTGTTAATGTTTTCATTTCTCCATAGAATAGGTATGATTTCATGGATAAACATTGATTACAGTCAAAAAATCAAGCAGTTCCTATTTTTTGGCATTGAGATTATATTTTAGTTAATTTTTACTATCTGTTAAAAGATTAGAGGGTTTGGGTAAATTGAGGCTTACAATGGGGACTGCACATAATGAAAAAAAAGGCCAAATTTTTTGCCCTAGCTCTCATATTTTCAATAAATGTACATATAAATAGTTTTAAATAAATATTTATGCTGAAATTTCCTGTGAATATTGTAAATAATACAATATCAATATTTATGGACATCATCAATGCACAAAACATTTAAATATACCCCTCGCAGTTTGATAAATTCATTCAAAGCCATGTATTTTATGAATGTAGACACTGGAACAGATTGAGTAATTCTCTTTCAAATTTGTGTTAATCAGATTTGATTGACTAATTAAAATTTGACTGCTGTTAACTAATTAGATTACTTTGTTTTTTGCACAAGAGGCACAATCCAGCAGCAAAGCCAGTTTCAGCCATGTAATCAGTTCTAGCTTGAATTAAAAGTTATACTTTTGGTGAAACTAAGAGATCACTAGTGGGAAATTTAATTTGAATTCCTGTACTATATGTTTTTGCAGAAAATACATTGAAAATGCAATAAATATGCAAAATTATAACTGAAAAAATTATGAAAAAGGTGTCTGAATATCCCTCCTCCTTGCCATATCCAATCTTGATATTCACCTGAAAAGGGGTGGGGGTAATTTTGTGCTCTAATGATGCTGAAAAATGAAGGAATTTTGTTAAATTTGGTTTATTTGAATAACAAGAGTCATTCTTATCTGCAGTTATTTTTTTTTCAATTTTATTTTGATATTTTTTAAAATAATTATCTGAGTAAATTCTATTTAAACATGATTATTTTAAAGGTATTACATCACAAATGCTTAAAAGAAATTCAAATATGTTGTAAATAATAAAAAAATAATACATAAGCTTTTAGATGCCTTTATCAGTATGTTTCAATAAAATAAAATTTATTTCAGCAATGCATTCTCAAGAAGGAAGAGATTAATGATCCCTACCCTTTTACAATGAACAACACATGGACACTCTCCAATTGATCTCTTGGCTTTCATTAAGAGTTCCAAGGAATGGTTTTCTTAGAAAATCTAGTTAATCTCTTAATATTTAAGTTATTTAGATCTTTTTATAGATTATTAGAAAATAAATTTCCTTAGAACTGCAGTTATTCAAGCACTTTGCTTACAATTGAGCACTGTATTCAGTCAGACAATTTGATTTATCTGCCCTTGGCATTTAATCAATTTATCAACTATGTCAATAATAAGAAATGATATACAAATAATTATATTTGCATTTTATGAGAATATACATATTTAACATCAATTACATGAAATGTTCCTGAAAGTTGGCTAAAATGTAGGTCAGCCCCTTTCAAAATTAAAAAGTTTCAGTGGGGATGTATTTGTACTCTGATGCCAGCAACCCATTGCTGATGAAATTCTTTACAATCTTATGTTTGAACTAGATATAATTTTCTTTCTTTCCATTGAGTATTTTATCTACAATAGTTTTCATTCTTTCTATAACTCAGCAGTTTCTTACAAAAAACTGTTGATTTTCTTCATTTTTTATTAATAACGGGTACCTGCTACCCTGAATGATAAACATGACCTATCTTGAGAAATTTTCAGAGATAATAAGAAAACAAGCAAAACATATGCTAGATTAACCATTTTATTTCAAAAGAAGGGAAGAAAATTAGAAAAAAATGCTTCAATTTATAGACATATCTCTTGTTTCACAGATGTGGGTCTGATTGACTGGTGTGTGAAATGTAACAGCCAATGGTGTACTTTAGCTGGAACTGTCAGTCCCAATATTCAACAGGTGAGATAAGCAATAGATATGTGTTCTAAATATACCAAATTGACCACTTTTTATTAATGTTTCTATTACTCTATAGGAAAAACTCCTACATAAACAAATACATGGGTGCAGACATTTTGGACACCCAAAGTTGTGCGGAGGAGAAAATGCTGTCTGGCGCGTAATTGGTCAATAAGAGAAAAGACTTGTTATGTCTTTGACAAGTGAAATAAAGTTGATAAAAATCTCATATCAAGACTTGTTTTTTTTTTTTTTTAGATATATAGGAGTTACAGGTAAAAATTTGAAGGGAGGGGTGCACTTTGGTGAGATTTTCATTTGGTGTCAAACGCACTTTGTTGTAAAGAAATTTAAATTAAAAGTAAAAGTGCCGCGTGGCGGTATATTTTTTCTGGCATGTTTTGTTTTCCAATATCTCGGACTTTTACGACAAAAAGGCCATTTGCCCGAAATTCAATATATGTATCAGTGAGAGGGGCTCAAGTTTGTATGGAAGTCTATGGAAGACATTTGGTGGTGTTTGTCCATTTAGAGGCTGTTAATCGAAAGTGATAGTAGACTTTTAATTAAATTTACGATAAATACTATGCGAGTGAAATCTGAATATAGTTTAGGAAGTCATCTTATACCTAGTGTATTCCTACAGGCGTGAGTAAGAACTCTTGTGCAGCCGTTTTGGAGTTTATTTGTAAAATTTGTTAATTCATAAATATAAATGCGTTGAGGTTTAAGGCCAAACTGCGTAAATTATACATTCAAACTTCAGAGGTTATCTTTAACATTACGGCATAATATTTATTCTTTTTTATTTAAGGGTGGAAGGAAATTGAAAGTAATCGATTACTCAGTATTAATCGATAACATTGTCTGAAGTAATCGATTACAATTGATAACAGGACAAAACTGACTGTAATTGATTGTTAATCGATTACACAAAATTCCTCTAAATAATCGATTATTAATCGATTACATGTTTCGGTAACCATGCCTATGCCTGTATGATGGTTCGTCACATTTCCTGTGTAGCAAGAGACGTGATATGGACGAATCATCTTGACAAACACAACAGTAGCCCCTCTACATGTTGTGACACATACAACAAGTAAACATTGATGTAACCATCAATTGTCGCCCGGGAAATATATAAAGTAAGCAATGGAAATGAGTCTTGATCATCAAACCGCTTTGGTATGTGTGAAAAGGCATGCGCCTAATTGATGGCGACGATAGTCGCGAATATTTTGAAAACTTACAGTCGGAAAAAAATCAAACAAAAAACGATACCATTATAAACTTCATCAATTCCTCATGTAAATGTTGGCTGCATAAAATAGAAATTGAAGTAAGACACATGTCTCACTTATATTCAAAAATGTATTAATTTTCAATTTTAGAATATAAAACATGAACTATATGCAGAGTGCGTTTTTATGCGAGAAGTAAAATTCGATATTCTGAAAAGAGGGATGTGTCGTTTTTACGATATTATATGATAAGTAACTTTATACATTAAACATGTAAAACATATTTATTTTTACATATTCACTTTATGGAAGTAAATATATTATGTATTCCGTAATTCAAAAAGGGAAAGAACATTCTGATTAACAATCTTTTCCATGATTAGAAAACCTTTAATTCTGAATAACTTCTCCCACCCAAATCAACATACACCAACACTTAAATTTATATGTATAGAGCAGCCCGGTCGTCCGGGCTGCAATAAGTTCTACTGAAGGACACACCGTCACTGTTGAAGGTAATCTCATTTATTTAGACAAGTTTTATGACGTAAAATATCTTTTCTACAGACAACAAGACTCTAGATACACTAATTAATTTTGAGAGAATAGAACTATGGAAAGCAGGGCGTGTGTACTATTCTCCCTCTAATGGAGATCTACTGGTTTGGAGAGTGAGATATGATAGAAATCAATATGTTTAAAGAGATGCTCAAGTAATGCGGAATGACATGAATGGTTCAGAACAATAAGGTCAGATCATTGAACACGATAGCACAAGTAAAAAGCTATATAAACTTTCTAAATACATGACGGAGAACCATAATGGAGATGTTATCGTTTCTGACATGAACAATGGTGTAGTGGTGATAGATCCTACAGGAAGACATCGTTTCTCCTACACAGGACACCCATCAGGATCAGGGCTATCACCACTAGGAATCTGTGTAGACGCGCTGTCACACATCCTGGTGTGTGATGCTAAAAGTAAAACAATTCAAATGATTGACAAAGACGGTCACTTCTAATCACTGTTCAACAAAAGAAACAGGATAAATGTATCAGGGAGTCTGATATAACTGATTATAACAGCAGGGTGAGTGTATATTGATACATACGGAGAAAGGAGAATCTCACAGACGATCATCATGACTAGCTCATAAAGTGAGAGGACGTTGGACCGGTTCGATTGCGGGTTGCCAGAAGAGCATAACTGGTGGAAAAGTTGAATTGATATCAAATGGGCCAGGGTTCAAATCCCAGTCTGGTCCGCTAGAATTTTCTCCTCCCCTATTACAAGTAATTACTAGATGCTGTCATGAGACAGTAATACCCGCACTAAGGTGTTTGCCTCTAAATGCACACTCATTTAAACTGGGCTTTACCAAGGAAAAAGTCAATTTAATTCAATGATTTACATAAAAAGGCGTCCTTGTATTCATCAAATTGAGCATAATATTCTCAAGTGACCATGTGACCCATCGGCCTCGATCTTATAGGTATTTCATATTCGTAATTCATTACCGGTCTGAAATTAAACAACAGAATTTAATTAATGATGTAAATTAGGTTTGATAAAGGGTCGGATATAAATATTTGGCCCATAATTGGAACTTTTAACATCTATTTTCTCATATAGATCAACTACAAATAATATTATTCAAATTAGTGTAAAGCGTTTTTGATGATTTTTTTTCAAAATGTACAAACTTTTTTATATTTGATTAGGCAGAAACACCTTGAAAGCTGCCATATACCCAATCAATTTAGTCAACCCCCACCCCTCTCTCATCAACACACACAAACACCCGATTTTCGGGATTTTGGAAATAGGCCTAGATGGCAAAGTTAAGATAAAACATCTTTTGTAAATAATAATTTTAAATTTGTTCATGTACTATAAATGTTTCTGAACATCTGCATCACATTGGACTTGCGTCACATACCCAACTGAAGTACTAGTTTTACCAGTCTCATTTTCAGATAGCACTGCACGTGCAGTACTAGACATATGTGTTGTGTACACATCATTGCATGTATGTCAGTAGGAATTATTT